AGTTATTTTAAAATGTACAATTAAGTCATTATTGACTATAGTCACCCTATTGTGCTATCAAATAGTAGGTTTTATTCATTTTTTAAAACGATTTTTTGTACCCATTAACCACCCCTACCACCAAGGAATAGTTGTATCATGATTTAATGATCTTCTTTGAATAGACATGGGTGTTTCTAACTGTTTTGCTGTCATAACCAGTGCTACAAGGAACATCCTTCCTTGAACATGCCCCTTTGAGCACAATATTTCTCCAGGGTGGATAACCAAATGTGAACTTGCAAAGGAGATGCTTAATTTTTAAGTACAGAAAAATGGCTGTTCTCAGTTCTTCATTTTGACTAAATTATAAATGAAATTTTTAAAGAGTGCTACCTTTCAGCAAAAGAAACTACCGTCAGAGTGAACAGGCAACCTACAGAATGGGAGAAAATTTTTGCAATCTACTCATCTGACAAAGAACTAATATCCAGAACCTACAAAGAACTCAAACAAATTTACAAGAAAAAAACAAACAACCCCATCAAAAAGTGGGCAAAGGATATGAACAGACACTTCTCAAAAGAAGACATTCATACAGCCAACAGACACATGAAAAAATGCTCATCATCACTGGCCATCAGAGAAATGCAAATCAAAACCACAATGAGATACCATCCCACACCAGTTAGAATGGCAATCATTAAAAAGTCAAGAAACAACAGGTGCTGGAGAAGATGTGGAGAAATAGGAACACTTTAACACTGTTGATGGGATTGTAAACTAGTTCAACCATTGTGGAAAACAGTGTGGTGATTCCTCAAGGATCTAGAACTAGAAGTACCATATGACCCAGCCATCCCATTACTGGGTATATACCCAAAGGATTATAAATCACGCTGCTATAAAGACACATGCACACATATGTTTATTGTGGCACTATTCACAATAGCAAAGACTTGGAATCAACCCAAATGTCCATCAGTGTCAGACTGGATTAAGAAAGTGTGGCACATGTACACCATGGAATACTATGCAGCCGTAGAAAAGGATGAGTTCATGTCCTTTGTAGGGACATGGATGCAGCTGGAAACCATCATTCTCAGCAAACTATCACAAGAATAGAAAACCAAACACTGCATGTTCTCACTCATAGGTGGGAATTGAACAATGAGATCATTTGGACACGGGAAGGGGAACATCACACACCGGGGCCTATTGTGGGGAGGGGGATGGCGGAAGGGATGGCATTGGGAGTTATACCTGATGTAAATGACGAGTTGATGGGTGCTGATGAGTTGATGGGTGCAGCACACCAATGTGGCACATGTATACATATGTAACAATCCTGCACGTTGTGCACATGTACCCTAGAACTTAAAGTATATATAAAAAAAAGAGTGCTACCTTTTCCAAGAGTTTACCCACTGCAGCAGTGATAACATCTCTTTTTTCCTTTTTTTAAATTTATTTTTTATTTCAATAGGTTTTTAGGGAGCAGGTGGTATTTGGTTACATGAATAAGTTCTTTAGTGGTGATTTCTGAGATTTTAGTGCACCCATCACCCGAGCAGTGTATACTGTACTCAGTGTGTAGTCTTTTATCCCTCACCCCCACCACCCTTTCAGTGATAACATCCTTAAACGATAGTCATTCAGTCCGTGTTCTCCAAAGGGTGAGCCTCAAATCTACCGGAAGTACCTGAGGGTGCTTATTAAAATACATATTCCTGAGTCCCACCCACTGATTTAGAATCTCTGAAGGTATGTCCCAGGAATCTACTTTTTTTTTTTTTGAGATAGGGTCTCATTCTGTTGCCCAGGCTGGAGTGCAGTGGTGTAAACACAGCTCACTACAACCTCTACCTTCTGGGCTCATGCTCTCTCCCATCTCAGCCTACCTTAGTAGCTGGGACTACAGAGGCATCACCACTCTTGGCAATTTTTTATTTTTATTTTTTGTAGAGACAGTTGTTTTACCATGCTGTCCAGGCTGCTCTCAAACTCTTGGGCTCAAGCGATCCTTCTGCCTCCATCTACCAAGTGTTGGGATTACAGATGTAACCTACTGCGCCTGGCCCCAGGAATCTATCTACTTTTAAACAATTTCAAAGTTATTTTACAGAGCACAAATTTTTGATGTTACCAGCTGAAGAGAATTTCATAATGGATTGTTATGAGTATTAAAACCTGGAATACAGAATATCATAAAGAGATGTTAGATATTTAATGGGAATTTGAAAATAATATTGTACTTTCTAAGGTTTTCTGAAATCATACAATAGGAGGCAGTGTAATGTGGTGGTTGAGTTTGGGCTCTCAAGTTGGATGGCTGCTGTCTCAGTTTGTTTTCTGTTGCTTATAACAGAATACCTGAAACTGGGTCACTTAATTATTAGTTTGTTTGTTTTTTAATTAATTTATTTTTTGGAGACAAAGTCTTGCTCTGTCTCCCAGGCTGGAGTATAGTGGCGCAATCTTGGCTCACTGCAACCTATACCTCCTTAGTTCAAGCGATTCTCCTGCCTCAGCCTCCCAAGTAGCTGGGATTACAGGTGTGCACCACCATGCCTGGCTAATTTTTTTGTATTTTTAGTAGAGATGGGGTTTCACCATGTTGGCCAAACTGGTCTCGAACTCCTGGCTTCAAGAGATCTGACCGCTTCGGCCTCCAAAAGTGCTGGGATTACAGGTGTGAGCCATCGCACCGGGCCTGGGTTATTTATTTATTTAGTTAGTTTTTGAGACAGGGCCTCACTCTGTCACTCAGGCTGGAGTGCCGTGGCACAGTCTTGGTTCACTACAACCTCCGCTTCCCAGGTTCAAGTGATCGATTCTCCCACCTCAGCTTCCCGAGTAACTGGGACTACAAGCCCATACCACCATACCCAGCTAATTTTTGTATTTTTAGTAGAGACAGGGTTTTGCTATGCTGGTTAGGCTGTGGATAATTTATTTTAAAAAAGAAATTTATTTTTTGCAGTTATGGATGCTGTGAAGTCCAAGGTTAAGGGACTGCCTCTGGGTTGCATCTGAACTTCTTGCTGGAGGGGACTCCCTGTGATGTTCCAAGGCATGGCAGGAAATCACACGGCCAGGAGGCTGAGACTGCTAACATGCTATCCTTAAGTCTCTTTTCCTTTTCTTTAAAGCCACTAGTTCCCCTCCCATGATAACCTATTAATCCATGAATAGATTAATTTATTCATGAGGGCAGAGCCCTCATAATCCAGTCACCTCTTGAAGGCCCCACTTCTAATGAGGATTAAGTTTCAGCCACTTTAGGGATTAAATTTCAACGTGAACTTTGAAGGGGACATTCAAACCATAATAACTGAGATCTGAATCCTGACTTTACCACTTGCTAAACAGACAAATTTCTTAATCTCTATAACTCTGTTTTTTTTTTTTCTTTTTTTGGTAAAATAGTTATAATGAAAGTGCTTACATTCTTGGGTTAATGTGAAGATTAAACAACGTAATGAATATAAAGTGCTTAGCATCATTCCTGGTTTATAGTAAACATTCAAGAAATGTTTTGACTCTAGAGGTTACAATAAATCAATTATGAAACAACAAAGTAGCATTTGATGCTAAATGTTGGGAAATTTGGGGCAGGTAAACTCTAAAGTGGATAGGAATAGGTAATTTCTAGTAAGGTGGAAGCAGGGTGGATAGGATGAAATGATTAAAAAATGAGAACTACTATGAGTTAGAGTTGTATCATTTCTTCATATACCTTTAATTTTTATACTTCAAATATTTGCACATTACATGTATATTTGTATATATAACATATATTTGTATAAGTATTCCCTATTATATATTATATTAGTATTTATTAAGAATAATGATGAATATTGTGCCAGGGAGTCCTCTAATTATGGCTTAAAAAGACATCTTTCAGCTTGGGGCAACATGGCGAAACCCCGTCTCTACAAAAAATACAAAAATTAGCTGGGTGTGGTGGTGCATGCCTGTAGTCCCAGCTACTTAGTTGGGTACTGAGGCAGGAGGATCACTTGAACCCGAGAGGTCAAGGCTGCAGTGAGTCGAGATTGCACCACTGCACTCCAGCCTGGGACACAAAGTGAGACCCTGTTTCAAAAAAAAAAAAAATTTTTTTTAACAGACTAAGAACCTATACTTTAACTGGAGGGCAATGTGAGGAGTCAAAATAATTGATTAATCAATTATTTTGTCTTTTTATGTCTTCAGCACTGAAAGTCATTGTTTTGGTCTGGAGATGTGTAAAACGTACACTTTGCTCTCTAGTTGTTTATAGCCTACTTGGGAAGATAAACCTAACAAGAAATATGTAATAACAATAATAACAGCTAACATTGTTGAGTACTGTGTACCGGGCATTGTACTGAGTACATTATATAAATTATTTTACTTAATCCTCACAACAATCAGAGTAGGAAGATTTCATCTTTTTTCCCTCTTTTTATAGTTGAGGGAACTGAGGCTTAGATGTGTGCAAATAAGTGGCAAGTTCAGATTCAAAATCAGCTAAATTTTATTTGAAACCTAAAACACTTAACCATCTACTGTTTTTCTACTAAGCCTGTTAGTTCGAAGATTACCTGAAGGTAAATTTTATCAGGCCAGCTTTGGATCTGGGGGGAAAAATGAAGGTAAATTTTAACTTGAATCATCTAGACTGTTTATAATGGAATCTGTTGCCTAGCATAAATTAACCATGTTGAGGTCACAAAGGATACGAAATTACTCTTAAGGGATGAAAATTCTTTGGAATAGAATACAGTAGGCCCACGCAAACAAGAATGTGTATAAAATTAGCCTGTTTTTGCCTAAGTACATTAACTCAAAAGGAAACTTGGTTTAAGAAGTTCACTCTAAAAATAGTGCAAGAAGCATCACTGGTCCATAGAGAGGGGTGGAGTGGGTTACGTCATTTCAGCACCTTTTAAGGTAAAGGAGGAGGGAATCCTCTTGAACTCATTAGCCAATCAGGTTCTGAAGACACTTCCCAAGGCGACTTCCTGTCTCTCCACTTTCTTTCCCTCTCCGTTTTGGTGGGCTGGTGAGTGTGCACTTAATTTTGCTCTCTAATTGTTTTGAATTTATCTTCCATTTGAGTTATATACCCAGGTGGCAGGCCTTTATTTCAAGTCGGCATTGCAGTGTGTGTGAGTCGCAAGGAGGTTAATGTCGGCTGTGTGGAGGTTGGGAGAAGGCAGTGAAATGCTCTGCCTGGCTTGTTTCCACGTGGGCCTCTGCAGTACCGGGTTTGCCTTCCATCTCCGTGTCCTGGTGACCCAGGAACAATAGACTGTGCTTCATGTGCATAGTGCGTCTGTTCTTGGAAAACGCCGACTTCATTTTGCTTTGAGGGAAAGATATTATCATCCCAATGCTGTTTTGATTTATATCTCTTTGGGTGAGGTCAGATCTCGGGAGAAGGCGCTCAGCTCAATAGATTTTAATTCTCCGGTGAGTGTCTAGAGGGCCCAGGTCCTTACTGGGTTTGTGGAAACTGTAGCGGACCTTGTCTTTACCCTGGCCTTTGCTCAGATCATTTCGGCTTTCTTGGTGAACCTGGACAGCAAACTCTGAAGACAGATAAGCCCTAAGAGGAGCTGCTAATTTTTAATGTTGCCATTGTGGTGTGTCCTTAAAAGCTATGGAACAAGATCAGGGACCTTAGTTTAGGGCAAGCCTCTAGATTCAAATTCCAGCGCCACAGTTTACAGCTCTGGTGACCTTGGGAGAAGCAGTGAGCCATTCCGAGGCTTAGCTTTCCAAGATCAGATAAAATATATAAAAACTAGGCTCTAGTTGGTATGTAATAAATGTTAGGTACCTTTAGAAGTAAGCAGTACTTATTTATTTACAGTAAGTATTTTGGATATCTGTTTTCTCATAAAAAGTTTTGCCTAGTGACCTTGAATGTAATTTCACTGAATTCCTTTCTTTTGATACATGTTAATTTTTATATGATGTATGTGTGGGAAATCCATACAGGCAGAACGTGTGAGAAAGACAAATAATAAACCAGTTAATCGAATGTAGTAATAGGTATTTGTAGGCCTCCCATAATTTTCATAATTCTCAAGCATTGTTAAAATTTATTTTTGGGGGCGTGGTGGCGCAAGCCTGTAATCCCAGCTACTCGGGAGGCTGAGGCAGGAGAGTCGCTTGAACCCGGGAGGTGGAGGTTGCGGTGAGCCGAGATGGCGCCATTGCACTCCAGCATGGGCAATAAGAGCGAAACTCTGTCTCTTTGAATACTATATATATATTTTTTGAATACATATATACATATATATATTTTTTGAATAGGTAATACATTCATGTGATTCAAAATTCAAAAGATATCAAAGTTTCTTATCCCCTTCCCTAAGCCATCCAATTCCTCTCCCTCATAACAGTGTTACTAAGATATTTTATGCATATAAGCAGATATGTGTGGGTATCCTTCCCTTTTACTGTACCTACTCTACTATGTGTCTTACTTTTTCCACTTAAGTTCCATGAGTAGAGTGTCCACATTCCTTATAATGGTCACATAGTATTCTTTAAAAATTATTTTTTTTAAAAGATATATTTTTTTGTTTCAGTAGATTTTCTGAGTAAACTAACTCCATCTCAAAAATAAATAAATAAATAAATAAAAAATAAAAGACCCATTATCTTGGAGTTGGAAGGGCCCTTATGAGTACTATATGAGTGACCTTTCTGGCTTCTGGGTTATTGTGAGAAGTGTGACTTCTTGTTGTTAAATTTGTTTTTATTGTAGATTCATGGGGTACATGTGCAGGTTTGTTACAGGGTATATATTGCATGATGCTGAGGTTTGGGCTTCTATTGATTCTGCCATCTAGGTAGTAAACATTGTACCCAATAGGAAGTTTTTCAGTTCTTGCCCCTCTCTCTCCTTTCCTCCTTTTGGAGTACCTAGTGTCTATTGTTCCCAACCTTATGTCCCTGTGAACCCAGTATTTAGCTCCCTACCCAAGATTTAACTCCCACTTATAAGTGAGAACATGCGATACTTGGTTTTCTGTTTCTGCGTAAATTTGTTTAGGATAATGGCCTCCAGCAGCATCCAACAGCTCCAGTTGCTGCAAAGGACATTTTTTTTTTTTTTTTTTTTATGGCTGTGGAAAAGTGTGAAATTTTTAGGCAGAATATTTGCCTTTCTACTCACTAGCTGGTTGAGCTTGGGCAAGACATAAAAATAACATATTAAACATTTAACACCATGCCAGCTACAGTGCAAAGTGTATTTATTACCTCGGTCTTCACAGAGGTTTTAAGAGGTATGTAGTATTTGTTCTCATTTTAAAGAGGGGACAGCTGAGGTTTAGAGAAGTTCCATAACTTACCCATGGGCACAGCAAATACATGAGAGAGCCAGGATTAAAATTTAGTTTTGTATGATTTCAAAATCTATTATTTTAGGGAATATTAATTAGTGCAACTATTATGGAAAATAGTATGGAAATTTCTCAAAAAAATTAAAAATAGAGCTACCATATAATCCAGAAATCCCATTTCTGGGTATATTCAAAGGAAATAAAATTAGTGTGTCAGAGATATCTATACTCCCATGTTCATTGCATCATTATTCACAAAAGCCAAGATGTGGAATTGACCTAAGGGTCCATCAGCAGATGAATGGATAAAGCAAATATGATACATATGTACAGTGGAATACTATTCTGCCTTAAAAAGGAAGGAAACTCTGATAGTGAGTGGGAATTAAAACTTGGAGTCTGTTCTGATAGCAGTACCTTATATAACTATCTCTAAAGGAAAACTATGCCAAGCTATCAGTTTAGTATTTACTTCGTATGAACAAAATTTTGTGTTTTCATTTTGTTTCAGGTTGAAGATGAAATCCACTGAGGAGGGAAGTCCAGCACCCTGTGTGCCAGTCCAGAACTGGCCCGTCTGTAGACCCCCTGAAAATCATGGGCTTGGATTTGGATATTCTCAAGAGAAAGGGTTAAAGGCTGATGGGACCTAAAGCCTGGTACTTGAATTTTGATCACATAAGCTGCCTTAAGTTCTCTTTTTTACACGTATGTGTGTCTTTTCTATCTAAAAAGCCTAGCCTAGAGATTCTTTGAGTTACCATTGTATCCTGTAATGCTAGGTGGCACTGAGTAAATTGGAATAGAGTCAAATGGAATGGTAATGAAATCTTAACACAAGTATCTGCTGATTTAGTATCAATTTGTAATTTGTATTAGGCCTTCATGAAGCATCTGTTCACACATATAAAATGTACCTTTTGGCAATGAACACTAGTACTCTGACGTGATTACTGCCCACAGTCAACAAAATGCTGGGATCATTGATTGTTTATGGAGCATTTCCAAAATACTTAGTAAATACGAAATGTCCTTTGTATGTTGGAATGACACTTGTTGAAGCATGCATGACTAGAATCCTGCAGGGGGCAGGTATCCCATATTTAGCATCAGGATTTATGTGCCAGGCTTTGTGCTATGTGTCAAAGCAAAAAGACCAGGCCTCTTGCAATCTGGGTTTTGTTTGTGAGTTGAGATTAATAGAGAAGTTGTTCCTTTCAACCTATAATTATTATCCTGTAAGAATACTTAGATCAAGTATTTTTTTTTTTATTTCCTTTTTTAAAAAATTGATTTTAGGTTTGGAGAGATCAAGGAGTTTTAAGGTAGACATTGTTAAAACTGTAGAAACCTTTCACACCATGTCTTGCTTCTTGTCTTCATTCTCTTAGTTAACCTTGAATCCTGCTGATCTGAAAACATTTTACATAGTTAAAGCATTATAGACATGTAGGGCAAGGAAGGAGTAAAATAACATTTTGATCATATCTGTCTGAGATATTTAAAATGCTTCAGTTTCTTTCCAACCTTCTGAGCTAGCTAGCATGTCATTGCATTACATTTTAAAGCAAACCATCTTTAGCTCTGCTTATTTTCTGTAGGACATACCATGGTGAAGTGAAAAGAGTATGGAGTTTTGATGGAATTGAATTTAAATCCTAGCCCTTACTAGTTAGGTGACCTTAGGAAATTTATGTAATTTTTCTGAGCCTCAATTTTCCTTGTAAATAGGGGGTTATAAAATTTAAATGATACAAATTCTATGCAGCTTGACAGATAGGATTTCTAAAGAATGATAGCCACTGCTTTCTTTCTGTCAGCTTATTTTAGACCCATTCTTAAAGGCACTGATGTCCAGCCTTCTGTTATGACGGGATGTTCTATGTTTATACTGCCAATATAGCTATTGAGTAATGAAAATGTGAGTAGGGTAATGGAGAAATTTAATTTTTAACTCTAAGTGGTTGCTTATTGGACATGCAACTTTAAGGTCCACTATGACCCACTGTTTTTGCTTCATGAAGCCTTCCTTGACCAGTCCTACTTTTTTTCTTAACCTTACTTGCTTTCTACCACTTATTTGGTGGTATGTTAATTTCTGTGAGTCTTGTCTTTCTGGCTAGATTGTATCTGAGGTTATGGATTTTTAAATCTCCACATTGCTGCATGAAAAAGCACACAGTGATAAAAGTATAACTAGTATTTTTAGCTAACAAGTTTTAGATGATCATTATAAGTAAATAAAAAAATTTTCTAGCTAGTAATTAGGTGAAGAGTAGGGAATAGTGTGAAGGTTGCCTGCAAAGATGAACTGCGCATCTAGTATGTATTTGACCTTAAAGTTCAGATTACACTCAAATGCTGGAAGAGGAAATTAAAGCAAGCCTCTTTCTTACGTTGCCATCTTGTGGCGGACTTGGGTTCCAAATGTTACTAATTCAATTTTCCTGTGTAAAGGGAAGAGTTTCTTCAGATTATTTTGACAAAGGATTACGAAGAGTAAAGGTTAAATACAATCCAGCATTGGCTCAAATGAAATTGAAACATGCTTTGAAAAAACTGACTATTTTGGATTATTTTCTCAGCTGAATCTTGCAAGTTCTTGACTCCTTTCTCTTGCGTAACTGTTTTCTTACTGTGAGACTGTTGACCTTTATAGCCTTTCAGAAGTTGGTTAGACTATTGTGCAGTTTTATCCAAACTTGTAAATTTATACAAAATTAAGCTTGTGTACAGGTCCTGCTCTGTTTTTTGTTTTTTTTTTTT